TTCAGAGTATCATGGCTCCAGAGGTTTGATTTTCCAGGTTAAACATTTTTATCTGTATAAATCAAGTTCTGATCTTTTCAGTTTGTAGAATACATCGACTTAGGTATATGAAAAAAGTTTTCAATCATCAGATATATCCTGAATGGTTTAAAAACTTTTTAAAATTAGCTAACTGCTGTACCATGTCACGCTCATATTTTCTATTCTCTGTTGCTCTCAAGTCCAAGTTCACATCAATCAGTTCTGATAAACATCGGATCATGTTTTGGGGATTCATTTCAATTGTTAGCGAATATATACATAAGAAAAATAGGGGTCAAAGAATTAAACAATAATAAGATACTGTTACATTATAGTTTCATAAAATCCTTGTAAGGTGCCAATAATGCAAAAAGGGAGCAGAATTTTTTTTCATTCTCTCTACTATAGTTGGATAGAGCTCATCGAGTTAGATAGAAAAAAGTCCACCTGAAACTTTCTGAGGTAATTTTTGGGTGAAAAACTTTCAAAATATTGATTTTTAAAAAAAGGCAAAATTACATAAAATTCTGAGAAATAACCAAAATTTTCATATTTATTCCTGATCTATCATTTTGAACCTAATTTTTTCTGATTTGGCATGCAAAACTGACTATAGAAAACCGAATTTGACAGTTTCCGTAGTTACAATGGAGTCAGATTTTGGGAAACCCGAGTAGAACCAGAAAAGGGTCCCTGTTCATCTTCCAAACCTATCTAGTTTTTCTGGTTAAAAGATAAAAAAATTTTCTTATCTTCATTCGAATCGTCATATCAGTGGGGGATAGGTACAGATCGCTTTTTTGAAAATATGATATCTTTATTGAAAAAATGCACTTTCTTTTTTGTTGAATTTTGTGCACAGAAATGGGGCTGGTCAACTTCGAATAAAAAATTGAATTTTCATTGAAATCTTGTCAACATATAAGCATACTGGTAAAAGACGATGTAGAATTCAATGAATATAAAATTAAGTTTTTCAACAGACTTTCAGAGGATCTCTGGAAAACTTTTCTCTAAAACTTAGGCTTTTAATTTGGATTTTTAATACGAATGTTTCCTCTTATTTGATTGTGTAAAAGCAAAGGGGTAGTGTTACAGTATAATGTGTTAATCTACTTAGGCAGCTGTAACTTTATGCTTAATTTCTCTGACAACTGTAATTTATAAAACTGTCTTCCATGGATAGAGAAAACGCGCAAATTTTTTGACTTTTTCCATTTAACTCATTCCATTAACTATGTCGGATGTCCGATTTTTTCACGATTTCTACCAACGCAAAGTAAGCTCTCACCTAGCAACATGTCTCTATACCGTACTCCAGCTACTTGTGGTTATTTTATTCGTAAAGGTATGATCATAAGTGGCCGGCAGAAAAAGTAGTTACTTATGGTTATTTTACAAAGAATGTCTCCTATCTCGGTAACGGAAAGGACCTGCGCTGAGATATTTTTGAATTAGTCATGTCCTTATACTTATAAGTAACTTGCAAAGAAGATCAAAATTTGAACGGAGTTTCGACGCACGTTCCGTGTTTTTTGTCGCTCTTGGAATATAAGAAGAAACATAGTTGAGAAAACACACCCTAAAATAAGAATGACGGTTTTTTCCTTTTTCTTCAAACTTATGTCAGACATGAAAAACAGCGATCTCTACCCTATCTCACAGCAGAAATAAACTGTCGCGACATGCCATTATTATATATAAAACCTTTCTTAGAACTGTCTTATTTTCTTTCTCAAATAAACATTTATCATACGAACGATTCACCAGGCAAAACAGCTACGGTCCGTCACCTATACCAATGTTCTTAAAACATCAAAGGTTCAGCTCAGTTTTCTGTAAAGCATCCAAAAAAGAAATTATATACCAAAACGAGCCTGGAACCAAAACACTAAGATTTATATTACATATTAGACCTCAGATATCTTATTTCTCAAACAACTAAACGATATACACACAGCTCTTTAAACTGCGACCGTTTCAGTAATCTATAGCCTGAAATGAGCTATATAAGACCAAAACAAGACAGTTTTTGGCATCAATTCGGTTAAGAAACAACGATTTTTGCAGCATTTTCTTGTTACGCGGTAAATCGAAAACAGATACTTTTCTTAACTGCCTCTTCCTTTAAACCTATGAGAAAAAAAATATTACCAGGAGGTTTAGCTTGTTGATAACTTATGTTTGGTATTATTTTTGTGATATTCAATTATTCAAAAGAATACCAGAGGATATTTTTTTTGAATGGATAGTAGTAAGTTTTAAATTAATCATTTAGTATGAAACCGTTCTGTAATGAATGGTAAAAGAGTTTCTTTGATTGACAATTGATCCGTACATTTATCTAACTGCAGCGCTCTTTTGTTTTTGGTACAGTATACCGTTTCATCAGACAATTATAAAATATCTATGACAATAATATTGTCGTTTAAAGATGAAGAAACCGCTTTAACAATTAAACAAGATGATGGTTTAAGGGGGGCGGAATCCACCCCCCCTCTCCCAAAAAATGTGCCCTCAACCTATGTCAGTTTGAAGAGGACACCTGATTACACATATCCTTCAGTTTTTCGATGAACTGATAACTATTCGCAGAGTTATTAATTAATTAAGTTTAAATTTTAATTAAACTTTCGATTTCGATGGTATTGTAAAATAATTCATTATATTATTTCATTATTTTATTGGAATGTCTGATCACCGTCGCGGCAGAGTTATTTTGTAGACAATGTTTGGTTGTATATAATATGCTTTAAAGAGTTTGAAAAGTTTTCGAACGACATAGGTTTTTTAAGTGAAACATTGTACGAAGAGTGTTTTTCTACTTTTAAACATAAAAAATAATTTTGAAAACCTTGCCAGCGATCGCGGAATAACAAAGAGTTTCCGAGAAAACTTTTCGCTGGCGAAGTTGTAGCTGATGTCATTCTCCATGGAATAAGCGAAACGGGATTCCAAGAAAGAATTTTTAACAGAAGTTGAAAATGAAAATTAAAACATTTTTAATTTTAGAAGTTTTTAATTAATAATTTTTTAAAGTTTTTGTCATTAGAAAAAGAACTGTTCCGCTTATTCCACGTAGAAGTTCATAGGGAACAACTTTTGTTGCAACAGTTTTTATGAGATATGCTTTGCGTAGTCAGAATCCGTGGCAAGGTTTTGGGGTTCGTATCCTGCAACAAGGGTTCCAAAACCCCCAGCCATTATTGTCATAATCAATAAGTTTTAATTGTAACATAGTGGTTAGATAGTCCAAAGTGGTCTCTACAATTCTGCGCAAGGCCAACCTCTCCATCTATTGTGGTTCTCGAATGGCAGGCATTTACCCCGACGAAATGATAACGAATTACTGGTGACTGTGGAAAATGACTGCCATTCGAGAACCACAACAGATGGAGAGGTCGGCCTTGCGCAGAATTGTAGAGACCACTTTGGACTGTCTAGCCACTATGTTACAATTAAAAATCCACCGCGAGTTTCGAACCTGGCAAACCCATCGTTTCTTATCAGTCAGGTACAGCACCTGAAAAACCGAGATTTCTCATGCACAATATATGTGAAGATAGAGTAAAGCCTACTCTACAAAATGCTGAAAATCCAAACTCTCTATTTCTTCTCGCTCTCGAGTTATTCCAAAAACATCCATGGCAGCTCTATTCAGCAAGCCACAGTAGAAACCCCGTTTGTCTAAAATCGAGTATAAATAACTGCTTATCGGTAACATTTTGAAAAGCCAAATACAGGGATTTGTGACGCTTGGAAATCTCTCTCGAATGACGTATTACTTTACCGTTTCCAATAAACTGTTAATTTGCAAATAAAAGTATAACGTATCAGAGTGATATTAATTAGTATTAATTAGCATTGATTAATTATAAATTATTGTCTTAAAAAACTTTTTTCATCGGACCATAACGACAGACCATTAGCTATCACGCAATGCATGAATGACTTTCCTAAGATTATTTTTGAATGAGCTACAAGTTTTTTAAAATGAGAACCAGGACTTTAACTTTTAATTAAATTTTAAACTTAATTAATTAATAACTCTGTGAATAGCTACAAAAAAGCTGAAGGATATATGTTCAGGTGTCCTCTTCAAACTGACATAGTTTTAGGGCACATAAATACCCAAAAATTGTATTAAATGATGATAGGTGGTATTCATAATCGTTCACTCACACTCTGGAAGAAGCGTGTCCTCAGAAACCCAACTTCTTCAGAAACGCTTTCGAGAATCGTCGGATTTTAGACAGACTTCGGCAACTCTTATGTACTTCCCATAACACCTTTTTCTACCGGAACGTATTCTCGAAAACCTAAAAAGGTGTTTCTTCCGTAGGAGTATCGTCGTAAACCGAGTTAGTATTAAAATATATTCGATTCTATTTACCCGGTATCGTCTTCGAGAGTGAAATGCAATGATGTACAAAGCAAGTTTCTGCTTTAGGTCGATCTTACTCAGCTATGCATTAGAACCGAGAAACACAAAAAGAAGTACTAGCTCCACTGCTAAAAAATGAAAATTTCCAATTATTTGACTCTTCGCATCAGCGCTGACAAACCGGCATGTTTTTGTTGTTCTTTCTCCTCTCATATGCTTTCTGTATACCATTAAAAGAAAGGAAAGAGTCTCTATTGCGTATTTACTTTACTTATTTTGAAATGAAATGTGTACAAAGTGTGGCTGTTCTGCTATTTCTATTTTAAAAATATAACCATCATCGCGACAGAAAGAAAAATAAGCTGTCATTTTTTGCCAGAATAGTTACCCTTTCTAAATTTGTTGAATATAAAAACTTACCGAGAACGTTTTTCAATCAAAATTGGCGAGTGAGTGATACAGAACTTTTTGTTATACATTAGATAGATTACAAACACAAGTTTAGGCTTTCTAAGTAGAGATCTTTTATTGTTAACATTAATATGAGACTGGAATTTTTTCCAATAGAAGAACAACTGTTTTATTTCAGTTTTAAATGACAACTACATCAAAAGTTCAGTGTACAAAATGTGCGAAAAATGCTGGTATAGCCACATGCGATGGCTGTTTAGCAAAATTCTGCAGACGGTGTTTCAATGATCATCGTCACGATTTGTCAAAAGAACTCGACAATGTTGTTTACGAACAGGATATCCTCAAACAGGACCTCGAAATGCCAAATAAAAATAACTCTCATCATTTGCTAAAACAGATTGATGAATGGAAGAAAGACGCTATCTATAAAATTAATCAGCTCGCTGATGAATGTCGGACTGACGTTGTCAAATTGCTAGATAAAAACAAGGACCAACTTATTGATAGTTTTCGCAAAATATCGAATGGAGTTCGTAAAGGTCGAGACGATGAAGATTACGATGAACGAGATCTCAGCAAGTGGATGACTGAGTTAAAAAAACTAAAAGATGAACTTATCAAACCGTCAAACTTCCGTATCGAAGAAGATAAACAACGATCTCCTTGGATACAAAAGATCAGAGTATGCGAAGATTTCCATGACCAAGCAAAGGTGGAAGATGGTAAGTGGTGGTAAAATCTATTAACCTTAGAACTTTCTGTAGATTACACGATGAAGATATTTCTACCAACAGGTTCATTTGTCTATAGGTGCTACTGTTACGGACCTCGACATGATATTTCATTCAGAAAGTCCAGTAGTGCTAACAATATACACTAATAAGTAGAAAATCAGTTAGAGAAAAACAAAGACGATTTCCTAAGAGTGCTTATATGTATCTGTCAGCGATTTCCTATTTTCTTGAAAATCCTATTTTCAAGAGAAATCGAGTTTCTGTTCCTTTTCTGGCAAATCAGATTTGGTTTTCTATCAGTTTCGAACTGGTCACCGTCGAATTTGATTAGGTACTTCTGAAAAGTCGCTCCCGATTTTACTGGAGAAACATTTTCTACTGTTCTAGCCAATGAACACCAGACGAATTCTGCAAGAAAATGGCCTCATAAAATTTTTGAGAAGGAAACGGCTGGAACTGATCAGAAACCGTTCATTATTTAGTTTTTAATTTTTCTGCGCCTTCAAAGTTGATTGTAGACTACCGCATGCTGAAATTTTTAATCATTTCTGCGCATCGGTCCAAAAAGCCTGTTCGATTGTATTTATTCATTTTTCTCTTCAACTTCGACGCTCTCAAGAGAACCTTATACACGAAACATGCGTGATTAAACGGGCTATAAAATGATACATAGCACACCTTTTCGAACTAACCCCCCTCCCCCCCACAATAGAAGACCATCCCCTATTAGAAGAGCACTGCCGATTATATGACTTGAAAGCCAAATAGAAGACCATGGTCTTCTAACTCCTAGAAGACCACTGGTCCTCTATTATGTCTGCCAAAAACGTCGGAAAATGTATGAAAAAAATACGGGAATTTTGAAAAAAATTTCGCTAAAATGTACTTCTAATAGGGGATGGACTTCAAGCATGTGGGATTACCGCTGAACCACTAGCAGGCGGCAAACTTTGACCACAATAGAAGACCACCCTTTAGAACTCGACTTGCGGGACAAAATAGAAGACCAGGTGGTCTTCTATTATGGGGGAGGTTTAATGTCTTCATAGATGCATTGGACAAATACTTGACAAGTATCTCGACTTTACCCGTAGTGGCAAGACAAAAATGATTATACATTTGTCAGCGCACTCAGACGCGGAAGGGTTTATACATAGATTAGTGTCTTCAGAAATTCATTTTCTTAAGAAGAACCAAGGGCGAATTTTTAGGTGAAAAACGAAAGTGTTTGAAGATTCACTATGCCAACCATAAGCTATCTCCAAAATCTTTTTTAGCTAACACATTAGTAAAAAATGTTTTCAATCATGGTTTAGAAACATCAGTCGGTTCTCGGCCGCTGTTTATAATGCAGAATCGAAAGGACTACACAATGAGTTATGACACATTGTTTTAAAGTTTGCTTCATAAGTGTAGTGGATAAATACTTGACGGGCATCTCGATTTTAACCGAAGTGGCAGTCAAAAATGATTATAGTTTCATGCACAAATAGAGATCTCTAATCATTCATACATCATTTAATGCGCGTTGGAAAACTCTACAAAGGCATACCTAAACTATAATTTTAGACCTTCAATCAAGAAAACTAAGCCAATTAGATCAAAGTCGAAAAAAAAATCAAAAAACTTTCCAAATTCAAAATTTTTTCGACTGTTTCTTCTGCTACTATTTCCGGTAAAAAGTGTAGCAAAAGTGCGAACTCAGTTTATGTTTGGTACTTTCAAATCAGCTCTTTCTCATGGTCTTGAAAAAAAAGTTTTAGAGCAAACCGTGTGCTGGAGACGAAGGTACAAAAATGCGTCAAAAGTTGACAGCCTCCCCGTTTCCAACAATGTGCTCAAGTAAGAGACGGAAAACATGACTGGTGTTCTGATTGTGCGGTTAGATAGAGCAGAACAATCATTTCTGATCAAAACAAAGCAAACCCGACCGAAAAAGCTTTTAGTTTGATGGAGTTATGAGACTTTTATTGAAAGCACTACTATACCCAAAATTTAAAAAATTGATGATAAAATGCACGTACGACAACCGACAGAAAAACTATTATTTCGCTGTGGCTTTTGATGTGAAAAACTTTGAAGCGTAGCTGAAACATAGAGTGTAGTCAGGGCCACAAAATGGCTAATTTAATATTTCTTACTTTTAAAACACTAACGCAAGAAATCATTTTTGAGTTTGAAAATTTTTCATTTTTTTGACTTTCATGTAATTGGCTTAGTTTTCTTGATTGAAGTTTAAAATTATAGTTTAGGTATGGATTTGTTGAGTATTTCGCAGCGCATCTTTTGAAAAAACATCGGGTCTCGGAAACAAATCCAGACCAAGTTATAAACAAAATACTGAGAGGCTCATTTATTCTGGCTCGCCCGGTATTATGTCTCGTGAACATTGACCTAGGATGGCCTTCTATTTTGAGTGGGGGTTTATGAAACAAAGGAAGAAGAAAAAACAGTAGCAAACCTTTCAGTCAGAAATAAGAAGGAAAACGATTCTCAAAGGTCACACAAATAATCAAATGAACATTTTCTTCGACTTTCTTACGCAGAATCTCTTGAGATTAAAACAACGAAGAACCTTCATCAATTGCGCTGATAGTAGCGCTCTCCTCCATCGTTATCCTCTCAGAGTCCTCCATAACCTTTGCTGTTACTCTTCTTCTCGTTTTCTATAAAACCGAGCTTGATTTTCAAGAAAACAATTCTTTTTCTGGAAAATCAAAACTATGTAGTAAAACATTAATTCTATAGAAAGTTGAATCAAGCGCATTTTGCGCATTTTGAAACAGAAAATAAAATTTCACTACTTTCAGTGAATGATTTCAAGTTGCAGGTGAAGTCTCACCCGCTAATGATCTTCATATCATCTAGTTAAAGGAATAACACTCATTTTTCCTTCTTCTAGAACTACCATTCGATGGAGCTGGTATTCAAAAACAAAACCATACCAGTGCTGCATTGGCAGGATCCGAAAGTTTCTCTCCAAAACAAGAGGAGACAACAACAAAAAATCAAAGTAAAAAAGGTAAGAAGAAATTCCTTTATATCAAATCTGCTGTTTCTCGTGATTCTACAAAAAACGAAGTTTAATTTTTTAACGAGAATTTTATTACAAGAAAAGTAGAACAGGCTTAGGCGTCCATTCTAGCTAAGGTAAGAAAGCGAAAAACAGGAATTCTACTTTCTCCAGGAGAATGTTACCCGTCCCAAGCAAACGTCACCTAGGGGGAAAATCTGGATACATTTCGTCTGATAACACGGTTAATTCTCATCTAGATTACCAGTTGGAAAAGGGACTTTTAACTAGTTGCGGCTGCATATGCAACTAGTAATAGTTAAATCCATCCTTTATCGAGCGATAAATCGATCGTAGCAACTGAGGACAATTCTAGCAATCGCCCGATTACTAGATTTCCACTGTCGTTACCAAATAATTGCAATCGGGCAAAATTCCAGTAACTTTGATGAATCGGGTGATACTAGATCTTTTTCTTATGCTTGGGCTTTCTCAAATAATTGAATTTAACTCAAACTACTGAATCCACACAGAGAAAAACAGTGAGAGTAAAATGCCGAAATGAGAGGACGATAATAGGCCCACTTTAATTTTTGCCTAAAACGATTCAGTGAGTAGTAGAAAAGTATTTTTATTCGATTGTGAGTAAATTTCGTGTACTTATAGTAACTAAAAGTCAAGTAACTCTTCGTCAATAGCAATAGTTCATCCCTCAAAGATCAGATATAGGTTACGTAAAAAGTGTTTTTCTCATGTTTTTTCACGTAGATGACAAAGTAAATATACCATTGGATAGCCCCTAAAATTCTCTACAGACTGTGTATAAAATAACAATTAACCGCAGTGCTTTGACAGCAGTAAGGCACTCAGAATAATCCTACATATACACTATAGTACAGTTCTTGCTTGTGTGGTCCCTTTTTCTCCCTAACAAGAAAACAAATAGTTTTCTGTTATATATCATTTCGAAGCTCATGAAATTTGCTACAAACTGGCGTGTTCAGAATTTCAAGATCGATGGGGCCAGTCTCTGGAAAATGTATCGGAAGTAAATCGGCTAGAGAACAATGTGTCATGAAATACTTTCAGTTCTTACTATTTGTTATACTAGTAAAGAAACATGTATATTTTGTGTCATATACCGTTTCAAAGGTCGTGAAATTTCCTACAAACCGAACTTTGTGTGGTATCTTCATTAGTAGGCTCAGCCTCTGCAGTTTTAGACGGGGTATCAGTTTTGCTGGAAGTCCCAAGGCTTGTACTATGTAATTTCGGATAACCTCTAAAGTAAATGGAAACATAGGTTATCCACCACAGTGAATCTCGTCGCGATGCTTCTCGTCAGATAAACGTGACTAAACTAAAATAATGAGCACCTAACAGTTCTAAACTAATATTCTCTTATAACGAATTTCCAGCAAATCTCGATATTAGCAAAATAGATGTTTTTACATTCCTAACACTGTTAACGTGTAAATTAAGCAGAGAGAAGTATTTTCTGAAGGTTTCAAGCGGTTTGGTTGGATTTTGAGCGAGATATGAGCTGTACTTTCGTACACTTATAGATAAAGCGGTGTATTTTCATCAAAACTCAGTTTCACTAGGTTTAGTCACATTTATCTGACGAGAAACATCGCGGCGAGATTCAATATGGTCGATAACCTATGTTTCCATTTACGTTAGAGGTTATCCGAAGTTAGCTGATCTTTGAGAGATGAGCTATTGCCATTGATAACAAACTCTAGCTTTTTTGTAATTTCCATGTGTTATTTACAAAATAAATTCATTCATTCATTCATTGACGTAGAACTGCTTGACTTTTAGTTATCAAACGTACGCGAAATTACAACAGAATAAAAATACTTTACTACTGCTCACAGAATCGTTCTTAGGCAAAAACTGAAGTGGGCCGATTACCGACATCATATGGGTCTCCCCTTTCTTATTCCTTCCACGTAAAGTTCCTGTTATCATTAACTAAAATTCTTGTTGAAAAAGAAGTGTTGCTTGTTGAATTATTGCTTCTAATTTGCTTGCTCGAAACTTTTCTAAGTTTAGCCGTTCTCCAGAACATTAAGTGACATTCTTGTTTTGTAAACGGCCAAAGAGGAAGTCAAAAATTTCTTTTCCATTTCACGATAAGTAAAAGACGATTATTACCTTAAAAAGCTTAAAAGAGCTGGTTTTTCCGTTCTTACAGTTAATATTACTAAGAGCGGTGCAAATTTTTTTATTGCTGAGAGAAACAGGAAAAAAATCACTGGAGTATACCATACTATGATGATTTATTCTTTTCAGAAACTGAGAAATGAAAGATAATCGATAAAACTGACTTTCAGATCTGCTTGGCAGGCTGTTTCAAAAAGAAGTACAGTTTAACTACAAACAGCCATTTTTGTCTTTTTTTCAAGCCTATTGATACGAGTTCAATATAGACTTCGGCTCAGAGAAGAGCCAACATGCGCTAATCTAATTAAAGTAACTGCTTGCTAACTCCTTCAGAACTCATATGTGTGTAAATCATATATTTACTGGAATTTATGAAATGTCCTAATGGATAACATTTTGAACAAGTTAATCCATGAATTGAAATATTATGATGCATCATCTCTTGTAAGATGAATGTTAATTTTCACAGATTGACTTTTTGTCCCATTTTTGAAACTGATTTTTCCCTTTCATGGTAAAACGAACGGAGAATTGCAAGACAAACAAGAGAAGTAACAAGTGGTATTTTACCTGAAAACGAAAATTCTCTTCCATTCACCCGTTCTTCGTCGAAAAATACTAAAAACATGGTATCCTTATCACAAGTGTAACATTATGATGCTGAAAAATGTGAAAGTTTATTATTTACTCTCTGTGATCATTATACAACATATGTTAGTCGAAACCATTTTTCTGAAACATTCTAATGGAATTGATCAAGAAAAGATCTTTTAGTGAATAAATCAAATTCATTAGGGGAAACAAATAAAGGTTTCAGCGTCAAACAAATACTTAATCCTGATCCGCCCACCTATAATATGCCCAAATTCTACCGGTTTCATTTGAATACTGCCTGCACACAATGGTTAGATTTTACCGCTTCACGTTATATTCCACTGAATGACAATACGATGTACGGTCAAAGTGAACTGATTGCATCCACCCATTATTTATGTAGCAGAGCTGCAAGACATATCTTCAAAGCAATCATTTTTGTCTGGGGTCTGCATGGACCCCGGGTGGACGGATCAGGGTTGAGAAAACTATTAGCACAACTAAATCATCAGCGAAATTATGCTTACCGATGCATCAATCAATTTACTGCAATTAGCAAATGTGATATCAGGCAAATTCTACAAAATGGTTCTGTTATTAACCAAAAGTTAAAAAACAAAAGAAACTGGCAATCAAAACCACAATTAAATGCTCCTCTTCAACATGGTGATGCTATTGCCTGCATAAACACAATAATCTAAATCAACAATGATGCAGTTGGAACAATAACTCAATGAATTTTAACGAGCACTAGACGAAACAATGAATTCGTTTTCTCAATAAACGAACGTGTACAGGATAAATACGAAAGTTGACATAAGCCAGTTGGTTTCGTCTTCTCCTTAACCCTTTACCCCCCATAGCGGTTCCAGAAGAGCCACTGACAAAATAACTTTATTAATGAAGTACTAGCCCCCCTAGTATGGCAATGGTACGGTCTGATCCACCGAATGTCCTGCCCCTAGAGTAGGGCGGTTTGATTGATCTCACAATCCTGTGGTGGAGGAAGGGAATTGAACTACATTGTAATACTTGATTTTTTTTCTTTGACCACATTATTGAGTAGGCCGAAACAACATCTACCTCGTGCTATTAGAGTA